GAAGCGTACGATAAATAAATGTAAATATTTTTTTTTATAGTGTAGTATTAATTATATTGTAATGATTAAATATGGACCGTTAGATTTGATGATGATGGTTAGAGTGGGACCCAAAAAGTTTAAGATGTAAAGTAGCTGTCCACAGCTGAGCAAATAGACAAATCTTACAACTACATGTGCACTTTAGTGAAACTGACCACATTGTACTAACATGTACCTGCTAATCATCAATCTTGTTTTTTTTCTTTTTTTTTAAAAAAAAGTTGAGGGTGGGGTAGGGGGTAGGGAGTGGGGGACTCTTTTTCTTGATTTGGTAACTAATATTTGAGTTGTATAATATTGGTCTTGCTATTTTGAGGATTTTTAACATTTTTATGGATATCATTGTGCTTCATATGACCACTTTATATTACATTCAATTATACTAGTATTATATTGTAAGAGGAAGTTTTAACTGACTCAATCATATAGGAGTTGTACGACTTTATGACCAATAGACTATTGTGATGATAGGTTAATTTGAATTATACGACTTTATGACCAATTTAATTTATTAATAATCAACGATTCAAATAGACTATTGTGATGTCTAACTTTACTTGTAAAAAGATCAATTTTAATTCATGAAAGTGTATTTTTGATATATTGTACTGATTGTTTTTATCACGATGTATGCCAAATAATGTATTTGAAATATCATTTTATTTATGTTATAAGTCTATGTTATATTAGTTGAGTAATGAAACGAGTTTGGAATTGTAAAAATATTGGATTAATTTAGGCGAGTTTGGCTACTCATTGTTTAAACAACTCTTAACTTAGCTCCTTTTGCCATTATATGATGAGTCATTTGTTGATTTTAAGTTATTTATTCAATTTAAATTCTGTCCAACCTATCTATTTTTCACCTGTAATATTTTGATTATTACCATTTCATAATTAGCACATTAGGAATTCACTAAAATGATAGGAATAACATTTAATAGGTATTTGGAAGATTATTTGAGTTGAAGTCTCCCGTCCATCGATTGATCACACAAGTACGCATCCAGTCAGCGCATAGCGAATGAAAAAAGTGTTCATCCTGAATTCTCTTCTTCAAGAAAAATGTCTATCAATTGATCCTCAAAGTCCAACAAAAAATATTTAAAATTAAAATGTAATAAAATATTAATGAAAATTGAAATTATGCTTGAACATAAATTACATATATAAATAAACAATCAATTTTAAGGTCTTTGCTCGTTAAAAATGCATATATATATATATATATATATATATATATATATATTGAGAGGCAAAGGAGCTAAAAGCAAGGCGCAGCTAGAGCTAACCCAGGTGTCCAACACGTTTCGTCGGAAAATTACGTTATATATATATATGTCAAATTCTATATTGAAAGGATATACATTTAAAGTTAGATACCCTTGACAAAAGTTATATCTTTGACGTAGTCGTAATGGGCGTCCATTGAGTGAAGGAGTTTCAAGTTTGAACCCCAAATAACACAATATTTTTTTGTTTTATTTTAATAGTCACACACCATTATTCTTAAATACCCTTAATAAAATTTCTGGCTCCGCCACTGAATAAAAATATTTGCTTCACGCCCTTAAATTACCAATTCACAAGTAAATTGCGAAGCCATCAGAAATTGATTATCTTTTAATTAATTGAATTCTAAGACATAAAGAACAAAAACCAGCATCCCTTTAATAAAGGAATATTATAATAAAAATTTAAGACACTGCATGATTAAATATAAAGTATTAATCTTTATGCTTAGTGGGCAATTAGTGTATTATTCCTTTTCCACAAGTCATTGATCCCCCTTTTTAGACTTACACAACCAAAGGAGAGATCTAAACCAATAATTGAACAATAAACAAATACTAAAAAAAATATTCTAGGTATGAACCACAAGTTTTTATATTATTCTCTATTCAATATTTAGTGTTTGATGTCTGCATCAGGATCATATTATATTCGAAAAGTAAAGTACTTTTAAACTAAGAAAACTCTAAATCTGATAGAATTTGAACTCAAAATATTTGATTAATGATGAAAAAGATGTACTTATCATTTCAACACAACGATGAACCATGAGCTATTTATTTATTTAATTTGGCTTCATATGAAAGTATTTGATATTAGCTTTTGGGGTTACTTAATTCATTATTATCTTTAATCAAATGAGAAGTTTAAGATTTCCATTGACAAAAAGTTGCTAGTTTTATTTAATATATAAAATAAATAGAGGACCCCATTAAAACATTAAACAAATAATTTAACATAAATTAACAAAAATTAAACACTAATTTTGACTCCACCTAGCTTTATGATTTTTCTTTGTTCCATTTTTTAATGCTTTATTAGTAGCGGTGAACAACATAAAAATTTGTGTGTTTTGTTTATTAAAAAAAGGCACATTATGTGTATTTGTATTTTGTATAATAACAATATATTCAGTAAAATTTTACGAGTGACATTTGAAAAGGATGAATGTGTACGCAAATCTTAGTACCTTACTCTTATTTTTATGAATTAAAAAAAAACTTTTTCCGATAGATTATTTGTTAAGTTTTTTTAAAACGAAGATTTTAGTTTCTAGATGTTAAAAGGATCCTTGAATACCTTTTTAATTAGTTGTCAACTTTGAATTTTATTTTTTAATCTAGAAGTTAATTAGCATCATTTTCTCATGCTGTGACTTGTCACTAAACTATGCATTAATTCAAACTTAATCTTGAAGTCAATTACAATTACCCATTGTTCAAATCTAATGATTTAGGATGGTCCTAATTAAATTAAATATAGACCATATAAAACAGCTAATTATAAGGTCATCTACACAAGATTATACTTTAACACATTATATCATGCACTCAAAACTATCTCAACCTATCTTTTCTCATTTTATTCTCAATGTACGCTATCTACACCTTCTTAAATGTGTGGTGTTTAAGAAGGTGTAGATAGCATACATTGAGAATAAAATGAGAAAAGATAGGTTAAGATAGTTTGAGCATATTTTACATTAACGACAAATATATCAGATTGTATGTATAAAATTATGATGAATAAAAGAGTTATAAGAGGATTGTATAGAAGTAGAATCATGTGAAGAAAATTATGTTAAATAACTTGCAATTTATTAAAACTAATCAATACTTTATTATAGAATAGGGTACAATAGAGAGAAAAAAGATCCATAGAAGTGATTTTTACTAATTGGGACTATTAGTACATAATTTTGAATTTATTGATTTTCTAGAAGTATTTTGACTTTATCATTAATTTATATGCCAATAAGAATATGGAGAATTTATTATTTTTTAATACTATATTAGATAGATGGATAGATAAGTTTTAGATGATTAAACTAATTAATGAACAATCTTTAATTAGTATGAAATAATTGATTCCAGCTTACAGCAAATATGCTTCATTATCCAGCAAATATGCTTGTGGTTTTGCCAGTTAAGAAGAATAATAATACAGTTTCATGTGCTCCAGCTTGTTCTCTATACACCCCGTCTCGAAATATTTGTCGTATTTTCTTTATATGTTTCTTAAAAAATATTAATTAGGGGAAGTATTTTAACTGTTTTATTGTTATTTATGTCTTAAATTATAATTTCTTTTTTTAATATTTATTTTACTTATGTGTTTTTAGTTTTTCAAGAATAATTATTCTTAAGAATTTTTTATTTTTTTTAATCTTAAACTTTTAAAATAACAAATATTTTTAGTAAAGACAATAATAATCTGTTTGACCAAACTTTTAAAATCTGTTTACTTTGAAAAGTGTTAATCTGTCTTTTTTATTGCACTTTTGATCCTCTTAAGCCATTAGTGGAAAGATCTATTATTTGATCTGGTGGAGAGAAATGAAATTAATATAAGAAACAATAAATAATAGGAGTAATATTGCTATATTATATTTTGAATATATTCAATAGAATGCTTTTGGAAAATGTATTAGACATTGAATAGTATCTAATAGCAAGGATAAAATGGATACAAATAGGTAATAATACATTGATTTTTTAAACTGGACGACTATTGTTGGACCTCTATTTTTAATATAGTGGACAAGTAAAAATGAACAGAGTATCGTTAATCCTCCCGACCTGCCTTTCAAATGAAATAATTATGAAATATCTTGGTCAGGTATTGGGTCCAACAGTCAGTTCGATCAAAGGGTGTACTTTTAAAAATCCGATCGGTGTAAACATGATATAAATTTTTCTTTGTCCTAAAGAAACTCCGGACGCTCCTTGTCCTAAGCCCCAAGCAACCGATTACCTTAGCGGATCTCCACCGCCTGCTTTTGCGTTATTGTTACTTACGACGCCTCTTCTCTTACGCAATTCCTGACTAGTTGTAGTGTATTGTCTCTTTGAGTGAAGAAGAGAGGAGCTTTATATAGATACTCTTGAGCCATTATTCTATTGATTGGTTCTAGCTCCAAAAAAACGTATACATGAAACTATGTCTACTTACCTACATCTTGTTGACTAAACGATTAGGTATACCACGCCACATATCATTGTGAACGTTAGAAACTATTGAGACTCTTTTCCGATAATTGAGAAATCTCTGAAGGTCAGTGGCAGACAATTCACAACTCGATGGATAGTGAGTCGGATCTTCTACCCTTCTCCACTTAAATTTTTTGGGATTTCAAAATAAAGTTCTGTTTTGTTTTTAAAACACAACATATGATCTAGCAAAGCCTCATATGTCCCACACTAGATGGCTATATTTTACATGAAATATTTGATTATTCATTTTCCAAATTACAATATTACATCATTGGAAATGATAAATAAATAAATGAAAAGAAAAATAATGTAAATATCAAAGAAAAAAAAATCAACTGCATCATCCAATGAGACCTAATAATACTTCAAAACTGCAGATCAAGAGAAGAATTTCTCTTTCAAGATCTCTTCACAACAGTGAAATGATGGCAAAATTTGGAGAGGAAGAGTTCATCTTCAAGATCTCTTTACCACAGCAGTGGCAAAGAAAGGATGGTGGCTGAACTCGAATTGAACCTTAAGCGACGCGTCAACAGCCCCTAGCCGGGAAATAAGACTTAGCGCAACACTGTTATGTTCAGCAACCTGTTCGATACGTCGAAGCTCTGCCATTTTATCCGAATCATTAGAAAAATTGCTCCTTAGCTCCTTTGCTATTCTCTGAGTTTCTTTGAAGCAGTTATACATAGACACGCTCTGCATAATTAGAGTTTCATGTTACGTCCTGGATGAAGACCAAGTTTTGCAACCCCCTCCCCCAGAACTAGCCCTCGAAAGGAAAAAAAAGAAAAGGCAAGTAATATATACAATAAAAAGAAAAAGAAAGACCAGAAAGGAAACATTTGTCAAGGATAACTCACAGATAGACGAGCATGAGCAGTTGTCTCCTCGAAAGAATAGTATGAGACATGATCAGGCAGGCAAGCTTTCAGAAGCAACTCAAAGTGCTGGACAAACCTCTGAGAAAAAATGCAAGATTTGTCAAGAATGGAAATGTATATCCTGTCACTACTAGACAAGCATATCAATGAGAGCAGATGTAAGAACTCCGCAACAATGGATGACAATTAGTTAGCTACTCGTGCTCTCTTCGGGGACATCCGATAAAATTGGAGCAATACAGAGAGGGTTAGCATGGCTAGGCCCATGCACAAGGATGGCATGCACAAATTGAGTGCTGGTCCAAAGAAAAAGTCGTGACAAATATCAGAAGGCACACCTCATGCTCACTATTGAAAGGTCCTGTGCTGAGATAGATTTGCCGTTCATTCCTCAAAGCTGCAAGCATCTGGAGGAAGCAATAACCAATAAGTTCTCAAGCAATAGAATCAATTGTAAGTTCAACTAAAAATCTCACTGCAGTGTGCAGATATGAAAAAGACGGTAAAACCAAAACGGGAGAAACGATTTGCAGGCTGTGAGCATTAGTGAAAGCATAATAAACAAAATCGAAAAAAGCTAATTACCATGGTAAGACCTTCAGCGAGATATACATGGCACTGAAGAAACAAAATTGCAGGTGGGAGTTGATTATCTTTTCCTCCATCTTTCACCAAATCTCTTTTCTTCTTCCCTTTCTTTTTACCTGATACAAGTCAAATATTTAGATAGCGTGTCTCTTATGTGGAAAAAAACCATAATATAATAAAATTCAATTGTATATTTGTTCTATATATAAGGTAGGGGTAAGGTCTACGTACACTCTACCCTCCCCAAATCTCACTTGTGGGATCACAATGGGTACATTGTTATTGTTGTTGTATATTTTTTCTATATCCGTGGATGAGTGAGTTGCAACTCTATTAAAAGAAGTGGCAAGCAGATGCGACAGTAAAATGTTCTCAAAGTAATAATTTAAATAAGAGCATCCCTTAGGAAGGGAAACAAAAAAAGAAACCGAAGAGTGGGAACTGGGGATGAAGTCAACAAAAAAAAATGTCAACTGCGTGTCGGTAGTCGGTAACATCATTCCCCATGCTTTCTACCTCTATTTTTCTCATTCCAGCTCTCCAACTTAATACCTGGACATTCGATGTCTCTTGCTAGCTATTGCCTCGGCTCATCAATTGTCTACACTAAGACTCAACTAATTTTGCTCCTTCCCCAAGGGACTTTAGATATGGGCATTTAGATAAGTTGGGTTGTACCAAGTCCGAAGTTGTCTACAATACGTAGCCATCAACTGATCAAGATTTACCTCAGTCAACAATTTTAGTGATTTATTATGGGAAATAGTAAATTCCTTTGGAAACTATTTGATAATCCTTATACGAGAATCGGTGATTTAGAGATCATATAAATGTTTGTATTCTTACCAATCTATACCCCAATCATGAAGTAATTCAGCACTGACAACCTATTCAAAATTCTATTATATATATATATATATATATATATATATATATATAACTTTAGTGTCTGGTCAGCTTGTACACACCTCGATTATTCCACTGGATACCTGCTACTATAGAGGTGGACCTAGACTTTTGAAGGTGGCCGGTGCATAATTGCATTCAATATAAATCTATCACTGGTTACAAAATACGGTGTAGGGGGTATGTATATCCATTGATATGGTCTCTCTGTATATGCACAAATCTCAAAGATATTAAGTATAATACAAATTGCTGAAGTTTTTGGGTGTTGGTGCACCCGTTCAGGTACTGGATAACTATGCCACTAAGCTAACGTAGATGAAAAACAATCACCTACTGTTATTTTTATCTCTGCTATAATTTGAAACCTGATCTCCAACATTTGCACCACTTCATTGGCCACTAAGCCACAACCATAGGTGCAGTCAACACTAAATAACTTACATATGATAAAGCCACAATTGTTAATTTCAATATCTTGAGACCTCTACGCGGTCTAGATATCAGATGGAAAAACATTTTAATGATTCAACACATGCCTTCACAATTTTTTGGTTGAATACAATCTGAGTCAAACCATTACATTCATCATGAAAAATGAAATGTCAATGACCTTTTTTTTCCCTTCTTTTCTTCCCTCTGGTTTATTTTATTTTTTGGCATTCTAGCTAATGGCAGGTGATCTAATGACATAACATTCTAGCTCTATTCAACCATCCAGCAAAAAGTCCTCCTATACAAACAATTCAAGATCAAGAAACTTCAACAGGGAAACAGTGATATATCTAAAATTAGTTCAGATCTCTATAAGCTAGCCACTAATGACAAGTATCATAAAGCTTCAACCAGTGAATCAATTTGTATGACCTTGGTACAGAGAAGGAGAAACCTATTATCCAAAAGATCAAACCCTTGTACAACAAAACTTTCAGTAGAAAACTAGAAATCCACATATAAGGTTACCAAGGATGTAGATCCAGAATTGTTCGACAGACTTACACCAACAACTAGGGAAAAAGAGATGGTTGGAACAAGCAGCATTCTTACTGATTTCATTGCTTGTCATTTCCCTCATATGTGTTCTCTCCGCAAGCTTGATCAGGATAATATACATGTACCAATAGACCATACAATATTCACCAGTAGAATACAAGTCTAATTCAAAGCCCAACATCAGGAAACGGGAAGCAATCCAGTATGTTTGCTCCTCCACCCATATGAGAATGTGTCTGCATATCTTCATGCAAATATTCTGCGACAAAATTCAGAAAATGAATAATAGTTTCCATAAGAGAAATGTTCCACTGAGAAGACGAGAGATCAAGAAAGATCAGTATTCTCCACTTTGAAGAAATGGCACAAGGTGGAAACCACAGCAGCAAGAGCTGCTTTACAGGTCCTCAAAAGCCATATTTCATTTTAGAAAGCTATTATTACAAACCCTCAAATAGTATTCTGTAGTTGCAGAGGATATTCACCTCGTTACTTGAAGTGGCTGAGATATCTCCGCACTCTTTCCTAAAAGCCAGTTCCAGCTAAGGAGAAATCAAAGAAACAAATGCAGAATTCAGCTCACAGGAAGGCGATTAACAAAAGAAATAATATAGATGACTCAGTCGCATCAGCAGAAACAGAAGCGTATACTTTAACAAGTTTGACATTACTCAGCACCCTAGACGATTTTATCGAAATCCAAACAGTAAAAGAAAATAATACATATGACCCAGTTGCAGCAACAGAAACAGAAGCCTCTACTTTAAACAAGTATGGCAATAGTGCAATACTCAGCTTCCCAGTTTTACACATGCCTTGATAGAAACCAATGTTATGAACCTAAACAGGAGAGGTTTGCTTTAACTAGAAATCTGATTCCATTGCACACCAGAAAATGCTCAGTCAGAGAACTTAATATGTCAATACATAAAGAGAGAGAGAGAGAGAGGGAGAGACGAGCTTGCAGGCAATAATACAGCAACCACTTTGTAAAGAGGACGGGTGAAGTGCAGATTTTTCTGCAGAAATTAGTCGACTTCTTTTGGCGTTTCTGCTTCGTTTTTATCAGATCGAGCTGAAATTTGAACAGAGTGTTCCTTGCATCTTGATCTATGATTAGGAACTGATAGATCACAATTTGGAGTCTTATAGCTCCAGATTTTCAGCCAAGAACAGTGACTGAGTTTTTGGTGATTTCTCGCTTTTCTTGGTGCAAACTTGTAATGATCATTGCTGTGTTTGGCACTTGTTCTGTGGCCATTTTGGAGAACCTTTGTTAACTATCTTATTGATTTAGTGGAGCTTTTGTCCGGTAAATATTTTACTCTTCATATTGAAGAGGGTTTTCCACGTAAATTTGATGCCTCTTGGATTTGATTTATTTTTGCATTGCCATATTTATTTGTGGGTGATTATAGTTGCTGCCCGCTCCTTTTTTTGCTCGTGCTTGAGGTCTCCTCTTTGTTCAAATAGATTAGGGAATTTTACACTTGGTATTTCTTCCGCTGTTACCTTAGTCGTGCATTCTTGTTGCTTGTTTTGCCCAACAATGTGGTACCAGAGCCAATGGTTCGGAGAGACGAGTATGGAGATCGGGGAGTATTGGTGTGGGGCCCAACTAAGCATCTTTGCTATCTACAGGCCAGTTTTCTATCTTTTACCCATAACTTTGAAGACGGATTCACAAAAAAAAATCCAATAAGCTTTGATGACATAAATACTGGATGGTGTGGGTGACACACAGTTAATCTCCGAATCAGCTCATGAATGGTGATGGTCACATGGAACTTGGTTTAAATAGGTCATCGTTGGGTGTGTGTGATCCAACATCTTATTAGTTGAACCAAGTTCAACGTGACCCTCAAGAAGCCACCAATAAGATGTTGGATACTCTTAATGGTACAAGGCCTTTTGGGGAAAATCTTGCGGGCTAGATCCGAAGCGAATAATTGTTTTTTTTTATAAAGGTAACAATATATTAATATCAACAGGTATACTACACCAGAAACTGTGTAGTCCCCCTCAAAAGTAGGCCACTTACAAAATGGGCTCCTATATGTTAAAATACTTGCAAACTGCCAAGAACATTAAAAATATCTTCAGTTTGTCCTAACAGATTCTGTTTATAACAACAACAACAACAACATACCCGGTGGAATCCCACCAAGTGGGGTCTGGGGAGGGTAAAGTGTACGCAGACCTTACCACTACCTCGTGAAGGTAGAGAGGCTGTTTCCGGTGGACCCTCGGCTCAAGTACATCCAAACCAAGTAAGAGAAGAGGAAACATTATATAAAACATAACATCCAATAAGAAAACTAGTGCATAATCAACAACGGAGACAATAACATCAAGAAAATACTGAGAGAGACGAAGCGCAGTAAACAACATATGACTATAGGATCACAGATAAGAACTACAAGTGCCAGGCTAGGACTACTACAAACACTACCAACCCAAACCCTCGTAAGGACAGACAACACGCTAACCCTACTAACCTTCAACCTTAATACTCGACCTCCATTCCTTCCTATCAAGAGTCATGTCCTCGGTGATGTGAAGCTGAGCCAAGTCCTGTCTAATCACCTCTCCCCAATACTTCCTAGGCCTACCTCTACCCCTCCGCGTACCCTCTACCACCAGCCCCTCGCACCTCCTCACTGGGGCGTCTGCACACCGCCTCTTCACATGCCCAAACCATCTCAGTCTCGCTTCCCTCAGCTTGTCCACCCAGGGCCACTCCCACCTTCTCCCGGATAACCTCATTCCTAATTTTATCGCTCCTAGTGTGCCCACACATCCACCTCAACATCCTCATCTCCGCAACATGCATTTTTTGAACATGTGAGTTCTTGACTGGCCAACACTCCGCTCCATACAACAAGGCCGATCTAACTACCACTTTGTAGAACTTACCTTTAAGTTTAGGTGGAACTTTCTTATCACACAAGACTCCAGAAGCAAGCCTCCATTTCATCCAAGCAGCCCCTATGCGATGTGTGACATCATCGTCAATGTCACCACTTCCTTAGATTACAGCCCCAAGATACTTAAAACTTTCTTTCTTAGGAATGGTCTGTGTGTCAAGTCTCACTTCCCCATCTGCCTCATCCAACGCATCACTGAATTTGCACCCCAAATATTCCGTTTTGGTCCTACTCAACCTGAACCCTTTGGACTCCAGCGCTTGTCTCCACACCTCCAGCCTCGCATTAACTCTATCCCGTGTCTCATCGATCAGTACTATGTCATCCGCAAATAACATACACCATGGGACCTTCTCCTGAATAGACCACGTCAACTCATCCATCACCAAAGCAAATAGAAAAGGGCTAAGGACTGATCCCTGATGCAGCCCCATCTCAACTGGGAAATGCTCCGAGTCTCCTCCAACCGTTCTAACCCGAGTCTTGGCTCCACCGTACATGTCCTTCATCGCCCTAATATAAATCATCGGGACACCTTTAGCCTCCAAGCACCTCCAGAGGATATTCCTCGGTACTTTGTAATAGGCTTTTTCAAGGTCAATGAAGACCATATGTAGGTCCCTCTTCCTTTCTCTATATTTTTCTACCATTCTTCGCATAAGATGAATGGCTTCGGTAGTCGATCGTCCCGGCATGAATCCAAACTGGTTCTCAGAAATGGACACCCCTCTTCTCACCCTCATCTCCACCACTCTTTCCCAAATCTTCATAGTATGGCTTAGCAGTTTGATACCCCTGTAGTTGTTACAGTTTTGGATATCACCCTTGTTTTTATACAACGGAACCATTGTACTCCACCTCCATTCATCAGGCATCTTTGCTGTCTTAAAAATAACATTAAACAGCCCAGTTAACCACTCTATACCTGCCTTGTCCGTGCTCTTCCAAAAATCCACCGGAATTTCATCGGGTCCGGTCGCTCTACCCCTGCTCATCCTACTAATAGCACGTAAAACCTCCTCAATCCTAAAACACCTACAGTACCCAAAGTCCCGAAGTCTTTCAGAGTGCACCAAATCACCTAACACAATGTCTCCATCCCCTTCTTCATTTAAAAGTTTGTGAAAGTATCTTCGCCATCTTTGTTTGATGGAGGTCTCTTCCACCAATACTTTGCCTTCCTCATCCTTGATACACTTCACTTGGTCCAAGTCGCGAGCCTTCCTCTCTCTTGCTTTTGCGAGCCTATACAATTTCTTATCCCCACCATTTTCCCCCAGCTCGACATACAAGCGTTCGAAAGCTGCCGTCTTAGCCTTCGTAACAGCTAACTTAGCTTCTGTCTTAGCCGTCTTATAAACCTCCTTAAGCGTCCGCTTCTCTTCCTTATCTACGCACTCCACCCATTTTTTGTATGCCGCCTTCTTTGCTTCCACTAAGCCTTGGACTTCCCCATTCCACCACCAATCTCCTTTATGGCCTCCAAAGTTACCCCTTGATACCCCCAACACCTTTGAAGCAACTTCCCTAATGCAACTAGCTGCTTTATTCCACATGGTGTCCGCATCCTCACTACCACTCCAAGCCCCCATCCCAGTTAACTTCTCGCCCATCTCCCGAGAAAGGGCAGGGGTCAAGCCACCCCATTTAATCCTCGGTCGATCAAAAACAACCTTCTTCTTCCTACCCCTCTTAATTTCCAGGTCCATCACCAAAAGCTTGTGTTGGGTAGTAAGATTTTCACTTGGGATAACCTTGCAATCCTTACAGAGACCTCTATCACCCTTCCTAAGGAGTAAGTAATCTATCTGAGTCTTAGCTATCGAGCTACGAAAGGTAACCAAGTGGTTCTCCTTCTTCGGGAAGCATGAGTTAACAATCACCAACTCAAAGGCTTTAGCGAAATCCAGAAGCGAAGTTCCACCTCCATTTCTCTCCCCAAAACCAAAGCCTCCATGAACATCATCAAAGCCACTAGCAGTTGCCCCGATATGGCCATTAAAATCTCCACCAATGACTATTCTCTCGGTGCTCGGTATACCTCTAACTACCTCATCCAAATCCTCATAGAAGAGCTTTTTGGCCTCCTCATCCAAGACCACTTGAGGTGCATAAGCACTAATAACACTTACAGTACAGCCTCCAATGACTATCTTAATCGTCATCAACCTATCATTGATCCTCCTAACCTCCACTACTTGCTCCCTCAAATCCCCATCTACTAAAATACCCACCCCATTTCTATCCCTAGATCCTCCCGAGTACCACAACTTAAACCCGTCGACCTCCCGAGCCTTGGAACCTACCCATCTAGTCTCTTGGACACAAGCTATATTTATCTTTCTTCTTGAGAATTTGCACTAGCTCTAAGGACTTCCCCGTCAACGATCCTATGTTCCATGATCCTACCCTAAAATTATGGGAACCCGTTACCCACTTACCACTATTTACCCTCGTCCTTGGCCTCAACCGACGACATGACTCAATACCACCATCAGCTACCAAATCCACTAGAAAGATACTGAATCTAATGCACAATCAACACAGGAAAACACTTGCTACTACTGCGACAGGAGTATAATCTAAAAAGACGGGATATCAACAACTATACTAAAGGCTGAAGCACTGATCCAAATTATATTCGAAAACACAACAGTACAGATCTGGAAAAAGAAGATGGAGCCTAGGTAGTTCATCAAAAACTCCTGAATGCTGCATTACTTGCCCTCAAAATATCTCTGATTCCTTCCTTTCTGTCCAGACAGACCACCAAATACAAGTTGGGACAATCTTCCATCTCTCCTCTCTTCTAGCTGCATTGCCATCACTATTCCAGCAGTTTAACACTTCTTTGATTCTTCCTGGCATTAACCATTTTATCTCCCTCAAGTTGATGAAGATTTTCCATAGCTGATCTGTCCATTTACAAAGCAAGAAAAGATGACGAATTGTCTCTCCCTGTTCATTACAAAGGTAGCATCTGGAGCATAGTTGTATACCTCTCTTGATCAACTTTTCATGTGTCAGAACTTTTTCTTTAGCCAATAGCCAGGTGAATCATGCTACCTTATGAGGTACTTTGACTTTCCAGATCATCTTCCATGGCCAAGAGCCCACCTGATTGTTGTACGAACTGAAATCTCTGTAAGAAGAATTTACGGAGAACTTCCCTTTGTTGTCAAACTACCAGATCAGGCTGTCCTACCCTACTGAGAAACCATTGAAGTGGGATAGAATTTGGAAGAACTCTGCTTCCTAATCAGTCTCCCAATCATTTAAGTGTATTCTAAAGCTGTGATTCCATCCTTGTCGTGTCCACATGTCAGCCACTGATGCTTCTTGTTGGCATAGGTTGTGTAATTCTGGAAATAGGTATTTCAGTGTATCCCCAACTTAGTTATCATTCCAAAAGGATATTTTCCTTCCATTACCAACTTTGAATTTAAGAATACCTTTGTATTGTTCTAACCCAACTTAATATCCATTCACTCCCTTTGGGTCCTTTTGATACCTAACTCAATAATTCGTCTTTTAAGACAATTTAAGGTTCTCTACAACTAGAGGTTCTCTACATTTTCTAAAGGTATAGAAATCACCAAACAAGAAGGGGAGTGTTAGCACAACAGAAAGGGTTCTCTCCGTGAGACCAGGAGGTCACAGGTCCAAGCCATGGAGACAGCCTCTTATGGAAATGCAAGGTAAGTCTCTGCCTACAATTAACCCAATGTGGTCTAACCCTTCCCTAGATCTTGGGCATAGCAGGCACTTAGTGATTGAGTTGCCCCTTTTTAATACAAATCTCTAAGAAAACATCTAAAGATCAATAAGCTAGCGACTAAGATTTGATACAAATACCAATTCACTAAAATGAGTACTACTCTCACATAAGGGCAAAACATACACATTTGAGTAAATTCTACGTTGTATATCTACTCTTTAACAGCAAAAGAATATTGTTAATAAAATTGATTCCCACTAACACCTTAACAGATGCATCCTGCATCTATCAGTAGTTAACTTATTTTAACTTACCATGTCCAAGGCACAGGATCTCAATACAACCTTAGGAAAAACACACCTATGTAGACCATCATAAAGACAGATATTTGTTCATATTCCACTTGCATTCCACACCAATCATCATGCTTATATCTAAGTAAGAAAACATTTGAAGGACTGTGGTTTACTCATTATACGTTTTTTTATCTGCCAACTTGAACAAGCAAAGAGTTCAAATTCTAATTCTGCTTTAGCATCCGAACATGGAGGAATCTAAGACGCAGGCCACAAAATGTATAAAAGTAATGATCACGATAAAAAAAGAAAGAGGCAAATACACAAGAATAGAAGTACAAATGGGATAAGAAACGGCAATTCGACAAGTGTATACTGTTCAAACCTGTACGTGTATGATGCGCCAATCTTGCAAAATCTTTCCAAGTTTACGCCGTTGCCACGAAATGTTGGTACAAAGAACTCGAAGCAAAGTGATTAACAACTGTTTTAGACAAAAGCATGTTTTTAATGGTGACAGATCTCATTAAATAGACTAGGCAAAAGGAATTTGATCAAAGCAGAAACCTAGCCAATTAGGCGACAAATAAAACCCAAAACAGATCAGTTTGACATTTTACGAGTACCAATAGGCACAGAAAAATTTGAGGATAGATTTTTTATCAGAAGCTCTGGACATAGAAAGTCTCCCTTTAATAAACTCATGCTTACTTGCCCAAGCTGTACAACAGTTTCGTTCTTCTGAATATCATGGTTCTTCGCCACCTCAGGTAACAAAGAAGCTTTACAAATCACAGCAAAGACAGAGTCACGCCCATAAAGCTTCCCATCTTGAACCAGCAAATGCTGTTGATTAGTCTTTCACATGAGAATGTCATTGAGAAAAGATAAAATATATCTTAAAGTTCAACAAGTTAAAAAAATGAACTTGGATCACAAATTCTGCTACATACAATAGAAGATTAGAAGGCAAATCATAACCAGTATATGAACCATAAGTTATGAACCCTCAACCCCACAACCACCCCTCTGGACGGCGGATGAATGAATAATCTTCTGGTGACATATTTTTCTTCATGTGAATTCAGATAGAAAATATCTTTGTTGATTCTTGATAACTCGAAAAGCTAATGCCAACCTTTTGCACCATAACTACAAGGCTTATTCAGTCATAAGATGGCCCAATAATAACTAAATATTATGCAAAAACATTAACTAAATTTAAACATCAGAGTTCCCAAAAACTTGTAGAGAAAAGATGAGCATAATAGCTTAACAGAGATCCTTGTTCTTGGATAAACTTCCAATCACGTCATCACCACAAATACCAAGATGCATTAACATGAAAATGTGAGTTATCCTCTGTGCATATGTTAGCAAAGTCATTGACTTTGGGAGCAGAAAAATAAAAACCTTCAATCCTGTACAGTTCACTTCATGGCTTAATCACTAGGCCTAAATTTAAGAAATAACTTTTTCTGAACTCTACGATCCATACTTTGGGTCTATACACCGACGATGATTTAGGATTACATAAATACTTAGTATTCCTCTCCCTGCACAAATTCTTCTTTGGACTACAAGAGTAAAGACAGCAACTTAATGTGGGATGTTCTAAGAGTTGCCTACATCAGCTTCCCATTTCAGGGACTAAGCCATTGAATTAACAAGATTAGAACAGGCAAAATTGATGTGCACAATGTTCATGAATGGACGAATGCAGAATTTATATGTGCTATAAATTACCTGGAGATGAGCTCTAGCAACCAATTCTGGTTGAAACTTTTGAAACTCGACCACAAATCGTAAAACACCTTCAAAGACTGGATCTAAACTGTAGAAACATATGATCTCTAGTTCATGAAGAAGCTTTTGGAAATATTCAGCTGCCTGGTAGAAGAATACAAACATGATTTGCTGTACTACTTGGATCAAAGCAAGGTGCTTATGTGTTTTTTCATGCCTTACCTTCTTCCAGCTAATTGTCTCAATAGCACGAGGTGGAGTTGGAGCCGATAATCTACTATTTAAGGTAGAATCAAACCCAACAGGTTGACAACCTGAAGCTGTTGTTTCATTTTTCATTCCATCTTCCAAAGTTCCTGGTGCATTGATAGACCTCAAGAATTCTGCTGACTTAATCATGGATTCTAACTCTTCAAAGCAACAAGCAATATGTTTCTTTGCCAATTCCAAACCTCTGCCTTGTGGTCTCTTCATATTTGTGACAACATGGTAAAAGTGCTGGAAACACCAAAGAGAGAATAGTATAAGTATTAAGAGGAACAGCAGTGACATTTATCAGTTAGGCCGGGTGACATACATTATCTATTTACAAATTAAATAGAAAGGTGCAAAGATGTAGAATCACTACCCCTTATTCATTTGTTCATTAATCAACAGCAAGAACTCTACGGATTTTACAAGTTAGAGCAAGTTGAATATAATTTTATCCGAAACCCCTTTTTATACATACTTCATAAAGGGAGCTGGTCTACAAAACAACATAAAAGTAATTCTCTCATTGCTAAAGAAACAACTAATCAACTCCATTTCTTTCATCTCTGCAGTCTGCCCAAGGCCTTAGCAACAGTGAGGTACTGGCTTAAGTCTTAACTCTTAACAGCCAAAGTAGTTAGAGCATGCACAAGTGTTTATATTCCAAAATCCCTGACCAGTAAAATTTAGATTAGATAATTATCCTTCGTAGTGCATTTGATTGCAGGGATAGTCAATATCACAGGAGATCAAGTTTTTTTTAAAAGGTAAGTAGATTGTATATTTAAAATGAAGTGACTTAGCACCAAGATGGTTCTTGGTGGTAAGGCAGTATTCAGGAATCCCATGGTATAAAATACAACTGTTATGCCTCAACCTCAAACAAGTTATAGTTTGTCATGTGAATCCTCATTGACCATGTTTCTCCATTTAATTTCATCTCAAATTAACATTATACAAAGTAAAAATAAAGATAAAAAGTACAAGAAGTTCTATATAATTTGCACTTGCATAAAAATCTCTGATATGGCTAAAAGACTCAAGAAAGCTTAGACCTAAAGGAAACATACTAATAAGAAAAAATATATTCTCGACTATTGCAATTGATATCGCCTACATAGATCTTCTTCAATTGTGCTCAACACTTAGTCTGCATGGATTCCAAGAGATTGTGCAGAAGATCTTTTCACATTGTCAACAAATGTTATATGTGCTATCAGAACATGGAAACAAACAGACACTTATTCCTCCATTGGTGCAGTAGAAACATGTTTTTCTCTATTTTTGAATTTAATTGGGTGTTACAAGAAAGCATTAAGGATGCCTACAGAGCTGGGGTCTATGGAAAGTTGGTAAATCCATCATGAAGGTCTGGAGAACGGTTCCTGGATGTATATTCTGGACAATTTGGATAGAAAGGAGAGAAGATGTTTTGATGGTTTAGCAACTCCCTTGCACTCCCAAAAAGTTCAAGGTTTAATTGTTTTAAGTAGTTGGAGCAGTCTATCCCCTATTTGCTTCCCCGAGTCTCATTTGGTTTTTGTTAGCTCCCTATCCCTAGCATAGGACTTTTGTAATAGGGCTAACAATTTCTCCTTTGTAATCAGCACATGCACAGTGCTTTTATGCATCTTCTTGATGCTTTTAATACTATTGTTACTTCATAAAAAAGAGGAATTGTTCTCAAAATGTTATGCCTGGTTCACCTAGGGTAACATGCTTGAAGAATAATTTAATTATGGAACCTCTCCTTTTCTATCAGCTCTCCTCCTACTTTCATTATCAAGTATTTATAGCTTGGTCCGGTTATACCTTTAATTATTTTTTATAAAGTAGTTGGAATATCTTTCCAAGATCTGGCAATAAATGTTTACAGAACTATATGCAAATTTAGCCATAGGGCTAGATCCACCTAATCCCCAGCCCCAAAGGACCCTAGCTTTTCCCCTTTCCTAAAGGTTAGCTCACTTCTAAATGGATAAAGCTGTCCATTATTCTTAATTTCTTGGTAAATATTACCGACCAACCCTTGACTCAAAAGGTAACAAGCTCCTTGTGTCATCCAGGTCTCATCTCAAGTAATAAACTAAATACAACTGAAAAATGAATTTTGTCAATACCTATAACCAAACATAGGATAAAATAATCCCAGGATTATTATCCTTATTTTTTTTTAAACTGGTAAAGTTGAATTCTTCAGCATTAAGGGTATGCTGGCTACCTCCAAAAAGGGATGACTACAGATTTCATATCAAATCTATAATCTGATCTATATCATTTATACAAAGCTGTTTACACCAAAAAAGTAGAGATACTATACAATTCTATTTAACTTTGTGGATGGAATTGGATCTATCTTCAAAACATCTTCCATTTCTTTCTTTCCAGACTGACCACCATACACATGATGGTATTAGCTTCCACCATCTCTTTTGACTCTTACTGCCTCCCCTCCTAATCCAGCAGCTCAAGATGTATGTTTTGGCATTGTCCACTTCATGCTTGTGATGTTGAGAAACAAGTTCCAAATTTGAGCGGTAAACTTACAATGCAGGAAGAGATGGTTATTTGTTTCCCCTGTCAAGTTGCACAAAAAACACCTAGGAACCAGCTGCCTGCCTTTCTTCCGTAGAACTTCTTCTGTTAAACATGCTCTCTTTATCACTAACCAGGTGAAACACTTTACTTTTGTAAGAATGTTACTCTTCCAAAAGTAATTCCAATTATATTTTGGGCCCCCTGTCATCCCCTGTAGTCCTCTTTTGTAGGCATTGTTGACTGAGAAGACTCCATCCTTACTATGTTTCCACAGGATCTTGTCTGTTGTTGTTGTGGTTATAATCGTTCCAGCTAGTTTCCCCATTAGCGCTGCCACCCTCTCCACCTCCCAATCATTAAGTAGTCTTCTTAAAGATATGTCCCATCCATGTTCTGTCGAACAATCACTCACTCTAGCATCAGGGTTCTCGCAGATTAGAAACAAATCTGGAAAAAGTTCCCTAAGAGAAGTTTGGTCTATCCAGCCATCTTTCCAAAATTTAGTTTTGTTTCCATTACCCACCTTGATATACATATTTCCTTCCATTTGTGACCATAGGTTCCTGATTGTCCTCCATATCCCCACCCCATATGGTTGAGAGGTGATTTCTGTACACCAGGGGTTTAGTTCTCCATATTTTGCTACTATAACCTCCTTCCAAAGAGCTGCATCTTCCTCAGTGTATCTCCACAACCATTTCATCAAAAGGCTTTCATTTTGCAGCCTCAAATTTCTGATCCCTAAACCCCCTCTGTCTTTGCTAAGAAGTACATTCTTCCAGTTGACCAAGTTAAAGCCCTTTCCCTCCTTATTGCTTTTCCATAGGAAGTTCCTTCTAAGCTTGTCTAGTTTTTTCACCACCTTTGCTGGGATTGGAAACAAGGACATCACATAGGTTGGCAAAGAATCCAGAACAGAGTTTATGAGGATCAATCTACATTCTACCCCCTAGGGATAGGTATTGTGCCTTCCATCTAGCAAGTTTCTTTTCAGTTTTCACCAGAATACTATTCCATATCTCCATTGTTTTGTGTTTGCTACCAAGGGGCATGCCTAGATATATGGTAGGCAAATGCTCCACTCTGCATCCCAATATATTTGCTAGTTGTTGGATCTGAGGGACCTCATTTACAAGAAAGAGACTACTTTTCCCCAGTTTACTTTCAACCCTGAAACTGCTTCAAACAAAACCAAAATAACTCTGATGTAGCTAATTTGTTCTGCTGTAGGTTCACAAAAGATGATAATGTCATCCGCATAGAGCATATGACATACTTCTTTTTCTTCCCCCACTCTATCTCAGACCTGAAAGCCTCTAATCCATCTGTTTTGTGTTGCAATCCCCATCATACTATCAAAGCCTTCCAATGCCAAAATGAATAAGAAAGGAGAGAGAGGATCACCCTGTCTCAGCCCTCTTTCTGATTCGAAAAAGCCCACAGGTTCCCATTCACAAGGACAGAAAACTTGCCTGTTTTTATACATACCTCAATCCACTTCATCCATTTGCTACCAAATCCCATTTGTGTGAGAGTATTCAGGAGGAAAGACCAATTCATGTGGTCATAGGCTTTCTGAATATCCAATTTGCACATTAGGCCAGGGGCTCCTCCTTTCATTCTTGAGTCAATGAATTCACTAGCAATAAGTGTTGCATCCATGATTTGCCTACCCTTTACAAAAGCCATTTGATGTTTGTTGATCAATTTCGACACCACCTTTTTTAGCCTTTCAACCAACAATCTAGCAATGATCTTGCAGACTCCCCCACCAGGCTGATTGGCCTAAAATCCTTCAACTCTGATGCTCCAGGTTTCTTTGGGATTAAAGCAATAAAAGTTGCATTAAAGCTCTTCTCAAAAGTCTGATTAGAATGAAAAAATTGAATTGTATTGGTGATGTTTTCCTTCAACAAAGCCCAGAAAGTCTGGAAGAACACCATTGGATAGCCATCAGGACCTTGGGCTTTCTCCATTGCACACAAGTTCAAACATTCCCTTATCTCTTCTTCCTCAAAAGGTCTCTGCAGCCATACTTTTCATTGATCATTGTAGCCTCCTGCAATCTCAACTCCGGTCTCCGTTGTTCTGCTGCCTCCTTGTATAGGTTTTTATAGAAATTATGCACGGCCTCTTTGATCACAACTTGATCCTTAGTAACAGCTCCATCCACTTCCAATTGGTCTATATAGTTGAATCTTTTATGAGAAGTTGCAATTCTGTGAAAAAATCGTGTGTTCTTGTCACCTTGTTTTAGCCATTGGATTCTTGATCTTTGCTTCCAAGCTAATTCTTCCTTCCTTGCCACATCTTCAAATTCCATGCCCAGATGTGTCTTTTGTAGCAGTTCATCATCTGTAAGGGGCCTTTGTTCCTGAATTGTTTCCCAATTAGAAATTTGATTGAGAATATCTTCCTTCCTTTGTTTCCAGTTCCCCTTGTTATTTTTGCTCCATTCCTTAAGCTTCACTTTCAACATTTTTAACTTTTCAGCCAAAATATAACCTGGTCTGCCAGTCACACTAAATGACTCCCAACCAATCTTTCACCTTCTCTTTGAAACCCTCCACCTCTAACCACCATGTCTCAAATTTAAAATAAGACTTTCTCCACCCTTCATCTCCACAGGACAACACAATAGGATTATGATCTGAAGCAATTTTGGGAAGACTGCTCTGAATTATCTGAGTAAAATTCTCTCCCCACTCTGCACAAAATAGAAATCTGTCAATTCTAGAAGCACAAATATGATCTTCTCCCTTTCTCCAGGTGAAAGAGCCTCCACATAAAGGAGGACCAACCATCTCCATTTCTTCAATCCAGGATGAGAATTCTGTCATAGCACCGGTTAGTCTGTGACAATTTGTTCTCTCTTATGGATATCTAGTGACATTGAAGTCACCACACACTACCCAAGACCCATTAATGTTATGCTTCAGCTCTAACAGTTCTTGCCATAGCACTCTCCTATTTATTCTGTTGCAGTCTGCATATACTGCACTGAGATGCCAACTGAAATCATCATTTACTCCGGAAAACTTTCCAGTTATGCTTTGGTTTCCATTCAGAAACAACTCCCCCCTCCAGATTCTCCTATCCCATAGTATTAAGATCCCTCCACTACTCCATTGAGCCTCCTTCATTAACACCCCCATCCATCTGTTACTCCAAATGCTTTGTAAAATATTATCTATTGATCCCTCTAATTTTGTCTCAACAAGAACTAGAACATCAGCCTCCCATCTTTAATTCCCCCTATTGCTCTCTCCATTTAACCCCCTTACATTCCAAGACAGAATTTTTACACTCATTATTGCTTGAGAGTTAGAATTCTCCCACTGGATCTTGGCTCTCCATACTTGAAATTCACATCGAAGAATAAATTTCCGATTTCTTTCGGGACTATGTTGTTCTCCTTAGTGACTTTCTGACTTTCCCCCAGCCCATTTTCCTTCTCCCTCTGATCAAGTTTCATCAATAGAGCATGTGCTTCCTTCCTACACCCCTTAAGATCAACTCCAAACAGCTGGCTCAAATTTAACATGTTCGCTTGAACCCATTCAGTTGCATTTGCTTCCATATCTTCCTCTTGTGAACTGATGTCAATCTGAAGTGGAACTGGATTTGACTCTGCGTACATGATTTCCAAAGTGTCTGAAAAATTCGTCTCCTCCTCTCCTGTTTTTGACTTTCGATAACCTCGTCAATTATCAGAATCTCCCCATGATTTTGTTTTTCTAACCGATCCTTGTCTTCTTTCTTTTTTCACCTGCGCCTACCTTCTTCCTCTCCCCTCATGGCAAGTTCAACCTCCTTATTCCCATCAAAATTAACAAGATTACTTACCTCCAAGTTCTTCTGCTCTCTAATGGCTTCAGTGAAAGGTTCTGTGAATGGCATTCTAACCTCTATTGGGCTTGAATGAATAGCTTCAGAGAGAGTGACTGAAGGTTGTGTTGTATTTAGATTAATGGGCTTCCCAGAAGTGAGCCCAATAGAGTTTAGCCCATCAGTAATTAAATCCCTTTCCATTCTTAAATTTGTACCACATGTAAAGTCACTGGGTCCCGCATGTGGGTCCTGCAAATTCAAAAAAACACTCATACCCAGTCACATGCCTACTGCTGCCAGCTATTCCTTTCCCTTTTCTGGATATATTGATATCTGATATATTTTCCCCTTCTGCAGATCGTGTAGGTACCCAACATGGTTCTATCCTTATTAAACTAATCAAATGACCCCTTCCAGTTATTTCACTAGTAGGAACTCATATCTTTTAAAGCTCTAATCTAACAATCTGATACTAAACAGTTAACATTCTTTTGACAAACTAAACAGTTAACATTCTAATAATCATTTATATGGTTCATATGGACCCAGGGAAGATTGAAAAATCTTGGGCTTGGGTTACTTGTTTACCTTTTGATATATGGGCATCAGTTACGTCCTAATTTATCTTCTTTTGAACAAAGGTTACTGAATTGCAAGCCAAAATCAGAAATCCCATCATCAGCTTTGATGATGGCATACAAAGGTAGAGGCCAAAATCAATCGGAGGGAGAGAGAATGCAGAAGAAAAGACAGAGAGAGCCATGAAACCTGGTCAACAAGTAAAACATCTCTACATCCTCAAGATGATTATCAATCTCTAGCTTAATAGAGTGAAATGAAACATAGATTTTAGTTAAGAAAAGTGGCGGCAAGACCTATATAACAGAATTTTATTGAAATGACAACACAGAGTAAGACCTTACGAAAACGTAATCGGCATAACAAAGATTTGCAGAATCCTTCCTCCAAATCAGGGTTATTTTGTAATGGTTCTATATCTGCACAAAAGATAAGCAACACATAAGAACGTATGGTGGTCGATGGGATAAGCATAGTTGAAGTTTCACTAAGCTCCTGCAGTTTTCTCCATGAGAATGAGACTCTCTGACCACATCATGCTTTTAAAACTTACAATTTTCAGAAAATATGAAGTGTTTTTTCCTTAATAGAAAAGGGCTTGTTCATGAGACATAAAGAGCGTCAGATATTAGAGGACCGGACTTAAACTAATACAAGGATAAAAATCTAAACAAATAGAAGACCCAGAATAGTTCTTAACAGTTATGATTCTGGCAAAAAAAGAAATTTGATAAGGTAAGTGGTATTAATAACAGCATCAAGAAGATGCAAGAATTAGATTCTGGCAAAATTATATTATCAGAAATCCTCATGAACCAAAGCTTTCATGGTATTGAAAAGATCTTGATTAGAATAGCAGTATTATGCATTCTTACCCAAAAGATGCACCGCATGTCCATAGCTAATGTCAGCATTACAACCTTTTTGAAGGCTCAAAGTCTACCCTTGTTGTATTTATGGGGAAATATTTCACTATGTTAAACTTAAAGAGCTAGGAAAGCTCAGCTTTATCAGTTACTAGTAAATGAGCACACGCTTCGTGCGGTTAGAACATTCTTCTTTAAAATTTATTAGAATAGAACTTTTCTTGTATTTTGATGTTATAGTATTTTTATGTAAATCTGTTTTTAAGAGTATAGATGTTATTCAATTGTAGTTTACCATTTGTTTTATTAAAAGAAAAGGCAAAATTACAAATCATAACACTATTTTCACTTAGTTTACATAATTTCATTTTACAAATTCATTAATTTGCTTTTGAAATTTTACAATGGTTAGTTTATTTTTATCATCTATATGCATGGTTACTTAATGTCTTTAATTAGAGAGTCAAATAAATATATTTCTCAATTTTCTTCTTTGCAAATTTCGTTAGTATAACACTATCAATTACTTTCAAAATATTAAATATTTTTTAAAAAAAAAAAGTTTTAAAAAACTAATGTGTTTATCAAGAGCAAAGATTCCATAATCATTTGATATACCAATAAGTAATATGTAGTCATTATGTGTTTTAAAATTAAAATGCAATCTTCCAAAATCCAAATTTCATATGTAATATAGTTATGATAGTGTTTTGGAATTGAAGTTGTGCACAAACAACATTAAGGATCCTTGAAAAGGATGAAAGAGAAGTAAGGGATAATGGAAAAAAACTTCAAAAAAAATAGTCATCATTGTGTATCATATAATTGTATAACAATAACTTTACAGAAACATAAATAACAAAGTTTAAAATATGTACTCAAAAACAACAATTAATATCATAAGCATAAATTAATGACGGAAAAAAAACAAACCAGGATCTGTAACAATAAAATGAAACATAAAGAAAAAACAAGCCCACTGAATGCACGGTGTCTCCTTAAGAAAATCATTCCCCTCTAGTACCCGAGGTTTAAAGAAATAGATCCTCTCAGGATGAAACGATTTTACTCACCAATGTAATGATACAAAAACAATAGTGTTAGTGAGCCACTAAACAGGATCAAAGTACACAAGTATTTAATTGTGCAGAAGAAGAAGAATTAGTTCAGAATTAAATATGTAATAGTGCAAAAGAATTTTCATTGTTTTAAAATGAGAGGAAACCCCTCTATTTATAGACAACAAAGGTAGTGTGAAAAAATGCTTGTTGTGCCTTACCGGAAAGGCCACAACTCTTTGGAAAAGTCACAACACTTCGGAAAGTTCACAACCTTTCATAAAAGTCGCAACTCTGGTTTTGCACAATATAATACACCTGGAAGACAAAGTTTGAAGGCTACCTCATTGTAATAATTTTTTTTTAAATCAGGTAGCATTACCTCGTTGTAATAAATTTAAAATAAAAGTTGCACAAGTGACAGCACAAACCTTGCCAAAAGGGCAATATAGCTTCACTCAAAAAGACAAACTTCAACACTCTGTACTTTATAGCAAGGGAAATATCTCATGATCAATAATAACACAATGCCTTCAGTTTGCAAGCTTTTTCCTGGTGATTATAGCATTAGGATACCAATAGGAGACATGATAGAGCTCTTCTCTCTCAAATAATTTTAGGCATTATGATGTTAAATACAAAGTAACAACTCAGACTTCAAAAGGTAAAAACAGTGGTGAAATTTTCGGAACAATTTCTATTTTCCTGAAGTCAGCAGTAAGATTAGAATTGAAGTTTGTCTGCCAAGCCAACAACAACCCAGTGTAGTACCACAAAGTGTGGTCTGGGAAGGGTAGAGTGTACATATGCAATATTTCTTCCATTTTTTAGATAAGGCAAAAAGTAATATAATTCTTCCTTTAGCATCAAAAAAGTGGGAAAGCACAAAGGACAAAATGTTATGCACTATCTAGTATCTATCAGTAGCAGAAAGCATAGTTTTTTTACGTCTAAATTCTTTTATATCTAAGGTTGCTCTCACCATGCACAATGACTACCTTCTGTAACTCTCTTCTTAGACAATGTAGCTTTACAAGCCCGTAATTGACGAGCAATTGTTTCTTCGACTGCATGTAGCATTGTCAAACATTTGTCATCTCCATCTACCTTTAGAGGAAGGCCATGTGTCATAGTGAAGAGATCTTCCTCCTGACAGAAAGATAACAAGAAAACAATGATAATCAACAACAAAAACAAAATCTGGGCACTTACTTAAAGAACATAACTGAGTGCTTTTAGTAGAAAGGAATATTCTTATTAGAATGAGGACCAAATATCCTTAAACATAAGACAAGCAACTTCAACATAATTGCAGATCAACAAAGTGATATTAAGAAATTGACCTACTTCATAACGTCGCATAAAAGAAAGGAGGACAACGCCTTCCTATCACTTTGAATAATGCTACATTTTTTGAGATTGGTTCTATTTCTTTAAATCAGTACATGGCTTGAAACAGTCACCAATCTCAAAAAATGTAGCATTATTCAAAGTGATAGAAAGGTGCTGTCTCCCTTTCTTTTATGCGATGTTATGAAGCAGGTCAATTTCTTAATATCCCTTTGTTGATCTGCAATTATGTTGAATAATGCTACATTTTTTATATTCTACTCTAAGCATTCACTGTCCCCACACAGAGAGATAATGTTTATAGCAATCAGATTAAGATGAGGAAAGATGGGATTCTTGACGTGAGTTGTGGCCAAGGTGAAAGCCCTTTTGTTGTTTGATTGCATCTCCAAAAACATTTGGAACTTTGGTTGAAAATGCGGACAAGAATACAAAGTTCTTTCATAGGCAAGCTACCACAAAAAGGAACATTGTACAATCAATAGAGATAGAGGGAACAGTGCATAAGGGAGAAAGGAGGTGAAAGGGGCCATTGTGGGATTCTACACTTAATTGTACAAAGAATAAGGGTAGTGAGGCCAACACTAGGAGGGATAGAATTTAATCAGATACGGGAAGTTGACGAAATGGCTAGATGGGGATATCTTGGAAAGGAAGTGCTGGAAACAGTGGAGAGTTTTGCATGACCTGAGGATTCACTTTGACTTTTTTCATGTTACCAGTTTCAAGAAAAAACATTTACTTTCTTCAGTGTTGGTAAATGATGAAGGACGAGAGTTAGGAAAGTGCATTGATGCCACATTCATAACAATAATACAGACAAATGATAGAGCAGTAAAATTTATTTTTGATAAGCAGTAACTTTGTTGATCGAGCAGTAAAATCAAGGACTGCAAACCTATTAATCTAATAAGAAGCATCTATAAGCAGTCTTTTCAAAGGCAAAAACTGTAGAAAAGTTGTGAGGTTTTAGGGACCTTAAGTGAAGGGACAAATAAAGATGATGTAATACAAGAAAAAAGTATATGGACAAAAGAAGTGAAAAAACTTCTCAAGTTCAAAAACCATTTTTAATCCTAACATGGAAATTTTATTAATGGTTCAGTTGCTAATTTTCTTACACTAAATTTCTAATTTCCTTTTCCTAATCGTTATATTATAATATTCTCTTGCCAATTAAAATCACTTCGCCAACCCTTCGGGGTGGCCCAGTGGTTGGGCCTGGGACTTCCATGTTGGAGGTCTCAAGTTCGAAACCTCTTGCCAAGGTTTGCCTCCCGGTGCGATGAGAGGGCTTGCCTAGTGCGGGTTACCTCTCCTATGTGGTTTGCGAGCTATTGCATAGGAGCAGGGGTTTTACCCTGTGTGCACCCAAAGGGTAGCAACTGCGGGTTTCCCTTGTCATAAAAAAAAATTAATATCACTTCGCCAACTACATTTTATTATATAGTTAGCGCCATCCTCTTCAGCATAGAGCCTGTACAACACAACACATGAAGTGCCTCCATGCCTGCCGGCAGCCGCGATGTGCAGCCTAAACAAGGGAAAGCACTAACGTGCATTCCGCATAGTTTCAGATCTTAACCATCTTATAGCGAATCTTTAACAACATTGTCGATAAGATCATTGCTAAGATACTTGCCAATAGACTAAAGAAGTCATTGCATGACACAATGTCAGTTTCTTCGAAGGCAATTCTGGAAGGAAGATACCTTTTAAATATCACTTGTGGGAAGGAGCTATACAAGGAGAAGCTGGATATTAGAAGACATACGATCGTGTGAATTCAGACTTCTTTAACTTAGCGAGGACGAACATGAGTTGCAGAGAGAGATGGAGGAAATGGATTATATTCCGCATATCGACAGTGAGGTTGCCCGTTACCAGGAGCCTCAATGTTTTCTTCGCTAGCTCTAGATGCAGGGGAACATGCTATTTCCAATGTTATTCTCCCTGGTAATGGAGGCGCCAAGTAACATGATGCACAGAGTGTTACAAAAAGATACTTTAAGGGCTTCACGACTAGTGTGAGGGGAAGGACAGCCCAAGACTCTCACATGTACTGTTTGTAAATGATACCCTAGAGTGTGTTTATGAGATGGGTCACAGTACAACATACGAATAGGAGATATCGTGGTTCCAAGTGTTACCCAACTGAAGATCAACTTAAGTAGTGTGAAACTATTCCAACATATGAGGTGGACAACATTGAACAAATCGCATGTGTTTTCAGTTGTAGGATCAGGTCACTACCCACAGCATAGAGCATACAAGGTTTGCCACCATGATCTTCAAATAACAATCGTGCAATTTGGGCTCCAGTATTAAAAGATCTACAAAAATGCTTCTTTAACTTTCTTCATCACTATTTTACGAAGAAAGTGAAGGGTAAATGTTGCAGTCCCCCTCCAAGGTGCAGACATGGAGAACGCACCAACATATTTGCATTTAGAAAAGGGCTACCAAGATTGTAAACTGTTTCCAGAAATATTATATACATCAGTTTTTTGTTAGATAACATCATGTATTTTTAATAAGTAAAGGTCAAGTTTAATAAGGTACCAAGATGGTACTGAAGCAGTACAGGACTCATCTACCTTCCATACATCAGGCTAAACTATCATATTCATCAGTTAACTAAAATAACAAATAGATCGCATTTTTCACCTTTCCCATAGAAGATTCAACTTGTCAAAACTATGTTCCATGAAGACACGAAATGATAAACATTAATGAGAGTAGCGGTGGTGCTTACTTCATTTGTGCGTGTATCTGAGACCGTGCAGACAACCGCATTGCAGGTTGCACGCATGACTCTGCAATATGAATGTAGTAGCGCATGTGATGACGTCCTATCAGGCCTCAAAAGGTATAAGCAAGAAAAAACAGTTTGAGCCAGTGAACAACCTTTATGCCATGTTGCCTGCATTCCCAATATATATCAGCCAAAGAAAAACTTCTTGCTCGACTATAACCGCTTTGTGTAAGAAGCCAGGAATACCTCACAAGCAAGAAGATGATCCATGATATCAATGACACGTTGCACATCAACTGTTTTGTCAAAACTCAAAGGAATAGGAGCAGCACCATACTCAATAGCTTCATCTACTGAATAGTATGTGCGTACCATGCCTGAATCCATCTTTGGGTCCATTATCTAGTTCAAATTACGAAACATGTAAGTGCAACACAAAGATAGAGAGTATCATCATGAAGGAAAAAAACAGTTCATCAATGTATGACAAAAAGTAACAACATATCAAGCAGGATCTAGCAGATAAGATCCAGGAAGTCTATACCACTTCATACACAAAACTGTTACCTTTGTCAAAAATACCACTTCATACAAGTATCAAGGAAAAAGGATGATTGGTATCATCCACAAGATAATCATAGAACTGAAGAAAAAAACACAAAACTGGAAACGTAACATTACCTCTAATGCTGACATGGCAGCAAAAAGATTAAAATTTTCCGCATGTATCAGCTCTCCATCTCGAAGATCTGGGACCAAATAATTTGAAACAAATTCACATGAGGCAAGTTTCTTCCTTGAATTACACAGATGTAGCATGATATTTGACCGCATAATGAATAACAAAATCCCAAGACCACATCAAGCTCACTAGTTAAATTCATAACTTCATCAAAATTCTTTCTTTTCCTTCCAACCCAAATGCCGCATCCAATACAATAATGCAAACTTCCCCCCCATAAAAGGCACCCAATGTTGTGGCCTTAATGGTCAGATCCCAACAGAGGTAAAAAGATTGGGCATTAGGTAAATTCTTCCCATTTGCCTAAGTCTTGAGGGGTATAAATGCATAATTACCCAGCTGGTGGGAGGTAACACCGCCATTTTCAAAGAAAAAAAAGAAGGAAATGTCCTCTCTATAAGGATATTACTGGCAATTTTATAGATAAAATGCTCTTCTTCAAAAGCAGTCTTTGTATTCAACAAAGCTCCTTCTACTTCTCGTATTGTTACATCTCCCAATCTAATTGAATAAACGAATCGCAATACACCCCTTTTAATGATCCCAATTTTTTTTCTCAGCACATAAACATGTTTCAACAAAATATATAACAGATTGCAGCAATAAACTAACACCCATGGTACCATACGTGCTACCAGGGGCGGACGCAAAGGGTGCAAGGGGGTCCAACTGAACCTCAATTGTTGAAATTCTACTATGGAAATAGGGTAAACAATATGTTTTTTCCATAAATATAAATTATTGAATCCCTATGGCATAAAAATTGTTTCTTTTTCAATCCTTTATTTGAATTCCTGACTCTTCCACTACTTGGTACTTCAGTAACATGATAATAGCTAAAACAACATCAATATTTTCTAGCTGTACTATAACCCCCCACCCCACCCCACCCCACCCCGCCCACACTTCCTTATAGCATCACATTAAAAACTCAAAACTTGAAAACCCAATACATTGATATAAAGGAAATAAAGTGATTAAAGGAGAAAGAGACCATTGCAGGCGAGCTGAAGAACAGATGAAGCATCAGCCCAAACCGTTTGTTCACCAGAAGGAATTGAAGGGCAAATTGGTACTTCTCTATCTCCTTCAGCTTCAGAAACATCAGCCATGTTTACCAAAGTGAAAAAACTTATCTGGGTATGCGCTAAATTGTGTAATGAGCTCAGAAAGTTGAGATTCTTGAAATTGAAACAGTGATTACTATCACAGTTTTGGCCTACTATTGCAGCAGCAGGGAAAGAGAGGAAAAAAAATGAAGAGAAAGAGAATTGGTCTGATTAATTTGGTAGGGCAAGAAATGGGTCGGATCCTGTTGGACATGGACCTTCACGACCCGACCCGATTATTTTTTCCATCTTTCTTGAGAAAAAGAAGAAGAGAGAGAGAGTATAAAAGGAAATGTGTGTGTGAGTGTATTTTGCTATCGGCTACACTGAAATAGGGAGAGAGGCAAGCGAGAGAAGGATAGGGGCGAGCAAGATAAAAGGGAGGCGAACGAGATAGTTAATGCATTTCGGATTCATGCGAATCACACTAGATATATGTATTTGCGATATCGCATATATTCTAAAATACAAATACATAGGAAGACAGACGAGCAAGAGAGTCAGATACATGCGAATTCACTTGGATACGGTGTATCTAGAATAAATTACACATAATTTTGATCCATGTATCCGAAGTTCAAGCTCTGGTAGGATTCAAAATATTGAAAACTCGCTTAAAGAAAAGCAATTTACTCTTAAACTAGTTAAATTTGTGTTGTTTGCCCATATATAAGATCTATTGGATGAGGGCTGTCAATGGGCCATTATGGGCTTTAATCTGATTTTAATTGGGCCACACATTTTCTATAGACTTTATGATCCAAGTGAATAGACTTGTTCTTTGTTGAAATTCCCTTTTAGGGAGAAATGTTATAACATCATATTTGGTGAAATTCTATAAATGGAAAAAAATCTAAAGAGAATAGAGTGTATTCACATCTTATTACTATCTCGTGAAGGCAAAAAAGACTGCTTCCGAAGAAATGTTAAGGAACCAAAAATTACTAGTTAGTTCTATAGAAGAGGTTCCTTGAGAAATGAAACTATGTGGAGTTTGAGGTGTGATTGCTTTAACATCTTATGGTCTTCTTATAGGAAATAGATAATTACTATTGTAATTTGTATTCAAAGAAATACATTTAGCGACGGATTATTAAAAATAAATTATTATTTATGAGCTATTTAGCGACGAACTTCATCATCAATTTCTTAGTGCTATAGTAACTGTTTCAAACTCCACTTACTTGGAGCTTTTTCTACATCTCTTTCAAGAGTAAGAGTGTAACAATTGAGGGATCAAAATTATTAATTTTTTTTATACTTTTGCCCTAGCTATTTTTCATGTATTTGGAATTTTATATACTTTTTTTTTAATTCAGTGGCACTAGTTGAACTTTTTTTTTTTTACAGATTATTTCTATTTCGGGGGTAGTCTTTAAATTTTTCCCTATTACCCTCTAATAAAAAAAATGTGGATCAAAGTATTTTTAACTATGACCTATTTTCATAAGACAAATCTTCTTAGAGAATGTTTTTTATAAGGCATTTTAGTACTATCTAATTAATTCACAAAACAAGTTTTTTAGGAAATTTTGCATGAGGCATAAGTTCAGTAGACATAACTTATACCTTGGGGCATAGGTTAGGTAAGCATAATTTGTGCCTCAGAATATAAATTCAGTAGTATGATTTTTTTAAGTCATGATATATTAAAAATGAACTCATACTTTGAGACATAACTTATATCTCGAGGCATAAATTAAGTTTATGAACTTATTAAAACATAATGAGTTAGCCCATTTGACAAAATATTGGTCCATATTTGTACAAAACATATCAAAGCCCAAAAATATGATTATATGTATTCTTACTTTAATATTTCTTCAAATGGAATAGTAAAAAATAAATAAAAAAATAGTGACAATCACTAAAAAAATCTTAATCTTCAATTCATCTTGAAATTGTATACATTAGAAGTTCATTACATAATATAAATAACAAATGAATGATTTTTCCTACATCTAAAAAGATAAAAAAAAAAAAAAAAAAAGAACCTTCACACCATGTATTACACAATGCAATGCCTTACATCAAATATTTTTTTAAAAAGAAATACAAATAAAAAATAAAGTATGATAACCATATTCTTTTTTTTTCCTTTGATAAAATTAAATCATAGTATATTGTAATTTATTATGTGTCACAGCTCAATCGACTCCTATATTCCAAGAACACTAGTGCAGCACCATAGTGTGACAATGCACCTAAAATCACAAATACATGAAATATTTGATGACTATGACCAGCTAGGTCAAAAAATCCAGGTTTCCATCTCTCCGGGATCCGCGCAATATAAAACATAGTCCCGATTAAATAAGATAATGCCATTGCCAATTCATACGCTAGCGTGACATTCCTTTCTGGTTCGTCCCAATTCAGTACTACTGCGTGGACTGCAGGTATCAGGCCAAAGAATCCCATAGACATGAACAGAACAGCACGGAACGATCGATACTTCCCTGTCGAAAACACAGGGGATAGGAGGGTGATGATGGTGCAAATTCCCATGATTGTGATACCACCTAGGTATACAATTTGCCAATGTGGTGAACATTGAAAAATGTAGTAAATTGGTGGGAAGAATGAGGTGATTATCATGACTGTGATTCCAACATAATCCATTCTCAACAAAAGGATGTTTAGCTTGTGTGAATGGCAACAAAAGAGGTGACAAATGCTACTTGAAAGTAGACAAAACATTGAACCAACTAAGAATACATAAAATGGCCATGTTGTTTCACTTTGTATACTCTTTGTTGACATCATGTTATCCAATTGTAAGTGATCAATTAGTCTAGATGGACCCTGAAAGAAGAAAAAAAAAGGTTTATATTATGGAAAGTTATATATACATTTGCTCGATCGACCAAAAATATTTATAGCTCGTTAGCGAAATTACATGTATTATACATTAATAATACATATATTACATATCTATCAACTGTTTTTTGGCGGACAACCATTTAAGTTAATTTTACTGACTTTTTTCTTAATATATTTGGACGCTTGACCAAAAATGATTATAGTTACTGGACAAATATATATATAATATATATTTATACATTATGCAAACGGGTAGTTATGTCAATTTTCCTAGTTTATATATATTGTCGATATAAATAAATTAAAATTATTGAAAATGTAACTTAACATGTTATAACTTTTTTTATTATTATTATTTATATTTATGTTTCATGTTATTTTTTTCTTCCTTAATTAGAATTCAAGAAAATGAAATTGATTTGTTTAAAAACAATTTGGAAAGTGACTCACTTGGAAAAATTCCTTTGAATTGTTAGAGACATTTGCATCACCACTCATGGGAAAGTTCCTGCGAATTTGAACCAAAATTTAATATTTTTATCATACAATCATAATAGATTTAAAAGGAAATAATGACAGCAAAATAGCAAGATGAACAATACAAAACAAGTCACGTATAGTAGTAAAAATAGAAGAAAAATTGAAGATGTTGTGTGAATACTAACTAAAAATAAGATAAGACTCTACTACGTACGACTCTTCTGACCTAGTTTTCGACCTTCCTACCCTAATCTTAAGATAAAATTAAATTATTATTTTTTTGTTTTTCTTCTTTCTACTTTCGGAATTGACATAAATTCCCAAAAAAAATTGTTGGAGGTTGTGACTCTTATGACTTTAATGAATCATAGAACTAAACTATTATTATTTTGTTTTTATATATAAATAAAAAAAAATAGGGGGGACGTATTTATGGAATGTAGTTGGAAGTTTGATGGCCAACAACACCATAAAAGCATATGCTAAAATTAAACTACTATTCAATCAACCAACTTTTCAGATAGTAATTAAAATGGACCCCTTTTAAAAGTGTCTTTTTAGCTGTCACTAGGATTATCTCTACAAAATAATTCAGCTTTTTTTTTAAATAAAAAATTTAAAAATAAAAATTGACTTTTCATACTAGTTTTGAAATTTAATAGTAGGAAATACTTGACTTATTATTTTGTTGGGAAATTAGCTAAAAAAAAATTAATAGTCAGGTGACCTAACTTTATTTTATCTTGCCTCAAAGTAATACTAACACTTAAAAGTTTATCTCTTTTAAGTCACTTAAGGAATAATGAGTTTTTCGGTTCAAAATCTGCATATAAAATCATCTTTATTATTATATATCAAGTGTTTTGTTCTAATATAAGATTTTGCGACACAAATTGAAATTTTGTCAGATCTCAATATAAATATTAGATAATATAATTTAGGTGACTTACCAAATAAACATAGTCATGAAATCAGAGAGTTGAGGCACTTGCACTACATTTGATAAGGTTAGTGCCACAAATAGAATAAATCCAAGTAAATGCCTGCAAAATAGAATTTTAAAAAAGTTTAGTTTTCTCTAAATTAGGAGAAATAAACCGAAAATAAAGAAATAAACCTATGAAGAAGTTGAAGGGGGTTCAAATCTACTCTCTATATATACATAATAAGTAATTTTAATCATATATAAACTGTGTAGTTTTTTGTCAAAAAAGATTCAGATGAATCCCTCGACTCTACGTAGCTCCACCCATGAACAAAACCTAATAGTTTTGGTGCAAAAATCCACTTAACACGTATAACTAACTTATCAAGAACATAGAGCTGTATTTTTTAGAATTTAGAATTTATAAACTCAAAGTTTTAGCTCGTGTCATCGGAAATAAAAAAAATATGTTGAAATGTAATGAGAGATAAGATAAAATACTTACGTCCAAACATTAAGAGTTTCATTATGCCAACGAAAAATGCTTAAAAGAGCTTGTTTAATAGGCCAATTAGCTCTATAATAATTGAGAATAAATTCATTATCCTTCATATATCCTGGTAATTCTTCATAACAAACCAAAGGGTAATTATTATCATTATTATAATTTTCCCCTTTCTTTGTTATTTTCTCAAAATTCTTCTTGCAACTTTTGTTTGCAATATTTTTGTCATTTTCCTTTTCTTGATTCATATTTTTTCTCTTCCAAATAGACCCTTTAGAGCTTTTGATCATTCCTTCTTTAAATCAATGTGGAATTATAGAAAAGGGAAAAAAAAATCTTTGTTTTCTTTTGGTTTTTTGAAGGTGTGTTTGGTTGAGTAAATAAGTGAAGGTTTTTAGTGTTATGTTGAAAAATGTAAGGAGGAGGAATAGAGTATTTATAGAGTTTTTTTTTTTTTTTTTTTGACTTCTAATACTTTTAATAGTTAGGTCATCAATAACTTCTTTGACATGTTATTTTTCCACCTCCACCCCAACACACACAACTTTTTAAAAAATAAATAAGTTTGGTACGCGTGGCATCTAGATTTTGGGTTCGATCTTCAACAGAGTCGTTCATAATATAAAATCTTTTGTGGAATTTCACTGGATATGTTGATCTTGTTATTGTTTGTGGCATCTAGATTTTTCTTAATGGGGTGAAAAAAGTTAAAATGACGCTTATTTTGAAACATAGAAAGTAATTAATTAATTATATCTTGATGATTTTCTAAAATGAAAACTATTTTAAACTAGTTATTATTAATAAAAACAACAAATAAAGTGAACCAAGGAGATTTCTTTCGATATATATATATATATATATATATATAATGCGTACGTGATCTTGTACATGCTTCGAGTTATGTAAAAATTAAATAGTTGGGGTGGGGGGGGGGGGGGTTATAGTTATAATTTGATTAACTATTGTTATCTCTGATTGATTTATATTATCTGTTTTTTTTTATCCGTTGTAATAAGTATTTATCTTATTTTAAAAATTTTAATCTCACATGTTACACGTATTATACTTTGAGCAACCTACCTAAAAATTCAAATTTTATTTACACATAAAATGTGGATGATCATAATTATAAGCCACGTAGAGATTATCTTTATATAACGGTTTTTGATTGATTTGTTACACGTATGGATAATGGTAGTTAAGATGAAAATATTACTCTTGAGTATTTAAGAAGGCAATATAACAAACGGTTAAGCAATTTCTCTTTTCTAGTTTTAAATTATCTATCGTAATTTATTTTTTTCATGTTTCTTAAAAGACATTAATTGGAAGGTTTTTTTAAAAGAAAAAACTATTTTGCTATTTGAATAATCATAATGTCACCACATTAACTGTAGTATTTATTTTTTTCAAGAACAATTATCATTAAGAATAAAATGAAAAAAATAATTAATTTTGTGTATTAAAACAATAAAGAATTGGAAATCATGATAGATATTTTAATTGAGATAGCAGAAATATTTCCCCTTTTGTGGAAAAAAATAATTAATTTCGATATTGGTGTATTCTTTTAATTATGTGAGATGCTTAACAAAAATATTGAAAGAAACAAATGTCAAAATTAATATAATCGTGAATTTTAATCTTTAACTTATGTGTTCGATTGGTGCCACTTAAACACAAGTATAATCACCATTTACTACCGCAATGCATCATCCAAATGTATACTGTTATGCATAGGTATAAATAAAAGTATTTTTTTTATATTGTCGGGGTCGGACCAACTTTCACAGATCTCAACTATTTTATCGATTTGGTACTTCCCAGCAAAACAGTGGCCGGAGTGAGTGTCAATTAATATTCCTACACTGAAAACACACATTTGAATCTTTTTTAACTTCTTTGTATATCTATTTTCATTATATATATTTTGACATTTTAATGAAAATTTTAGACGTGCTGCCGCCAATATAATTATAAACTACTTTCAATTAAGTAATGTTCACATGTTGAGTGTCCACCTAGTACTTTGAATATGGACATATATTTAAGAGTGGGAAATGAGCAATGGGTAGATGAAAATTTTCCTACCAATTTTGGTTGAGGAAGCTAAGCTAATTTTTAGCTTCGATTTTCCTTTACTCATATTATAGTGTGAAATGCATGGAATATGCTTCTTTAGGCAATATTGAAAAGTATAATATTGTGAAACTTGTAATAATATGTAGCAAACAATGATTAGGGATTAATTAGTACTTTTGGTTCCTTATATATTTGTGAATATGTATATTTAATCTTCAATGACTTGAAATTATGTGCTTTTGATTGGATATAATTATTAATTGTTCCACCATTTTAATATTCGTCGGTTATGTTAAACTACTTGTATTTATTATTATTCTATATATTGGATAATATAACATATTTCCTACACAAAATGAAAAAAAAACACATATTTTACTTAATTAAAAGTTAAATATTTTAAATTATATATTATAAAAATCAAAATCAGAATTTATCAATAACTACGTATAAGACTTAAAATGGTATTATCCTTAATGATTAGCTAAGCAATTAGGCAAAATTATGTTGCTTGGTGTGGACTAGTGGCCAACAGTTGGAAGATTTTGCTTACTATCTTTCTTTTGTTGCCCTTAAGAAACTTCAAATCTTAACCTAAATTACTATCTTTCTTTTGTTGCCCTTAAGAAACTTCAAATCTTAACCACCAACATGGGTTGTGGTGCACTGGTGGGAGTGTTTCACCCTTAACCAGAGGTATCGGGTTCGAGCCTTGGGTATGGAGAAAATCATGTTGGGAGCGCTGCCCCCGAATGGACCCTGCAGAGCGCGATCTGGATTTAGTCAGAGCTCCAATGTGGGCTCCGGACACCGGGTGGGAAACCAAAAAAAAAAATTTTAAAAAATCTTAACCTAAATTTTTATTTTTTGAACAAGTGGAAACTTGTTAGTATCAAATTTAACACATTCATAAGGTTTAAATTTTTGCTAACTTGACTAAATTTATTATGACTTTTTATAAGTGGAGACAAAATTAAGTATTCATAATAAAGACGTTTACTATTTATCAGACTATCATTAGATTATCGGATGCCTCGAAAAAAAATATGAGGTGCTTGAAAATGGTTAAAGTAGTTGAATAGAAAAATCACTGACTACAGTTTAGCAAATTTATTCCAATGAGTTTGAATCTCTTTGTCTAATTTCAATCTCGATTAGTTCATTTCATTGAATGACCAATTGTCCTCTAAACCCTCTATTTAAATAGCAGAAGTTATGAAGAGTAATTGATTATAGATAGCTTGATATACTAAGCTTCGCACATTCACGTAAAATTCAAAAAAGAGCTACATCCATGAGAAAATGTATACTTGATCTTATTTTATTTTATTTTTTACTTTTTTTTATCCATCTCTTACCTTTTTGCTCTCTTAATGATTCAAACTTACAACCTTCGAATTGAAAGTGAAGGATAGTTATCACCCGAGCAACTCCCTCTTATCTATACTTGATCGTATGACCTTATTATACCAAAATTTAAAATATGGAAGTACAGGACTAGGCGTCAGCCCATACACACAGATTTATTACTTATTTGTTGTCACTATTTTTCTTTTCAATGGTATTTTTATTATAGCTTTTATATTTATAGTTATTCAATCTATTTTAAAAATATTTTTCTTGAGGCGAGAGTCTATTAAAAATAGTCTTTCGTACACTTCACTGTCTTCAGATCCCAACAACGAAATCATACTAAATATGTTGATAATAAAATAAGGCTTGCAAAATGGTTAAAGTACAAAAAGTGGGATATATTACAAATTTTCATAATTAAGAAAAAAAAAATCATTTTATGTAGGTATATTTTAGTATCCATAAAAGTCAATCAAACTCTTATTCTAGAGAAAGAATTATTTTAAATTAACAGATAATAAAGATTCAAAATCATGGAGAGTCGAATTTTGAAGGCGTACGTGTGGTATAGGTGGGAGTTGGGTAATTAATAAAGCAAATTTCTTTGTTTTTTAAATAGGAGAGTTGACTTTTTATTTAAAATTTAAAATAGTAGAATTTAAGTTATGGACATTAATAGTGTAAAATAATTATTATATTATTACTCTTTTTGTTTCAATTTACAAGAAGGTATTTAACTACATAAAAATTTAAGAATAATAGAAATATTCTTGAAATTTATGGTCTAAAATAAGTAATAATAAATGTTTGTGTCGCTATAAATCATCCCAATAAGAATTAAAATAAGAAGTTTAAAGTTAAATTACTACTTTACTAAATATAAAAAAATGTGTTATTTTTTTTAAGACGGACTAAAAGAAAACACCACATAAATTATATTGATTCAACAAAGATAATACATTTTAATTTATAACAACAAATTATTATCATTTCTTCACATTACCACTTATGGCTTGTTAAGTGATTTGAATGAGTATAAATACAATTTCTAAATCGTCAATGCATAAAATTTAAACTATCAAAAAGAATAATACAAATATGTCCTTTGTTTTCCTTATAGGTATAGCCCATAAAAATATTGATGGCAAGCCATTCCATGTTCATGATCATGATGTTGGAAAATTCTAGCTACTTCAATGGAAAAGCAAATTAAGGACCACAACAACATGGGGGTGGAGGTGGATCAAGAGAAAAATTACATAATTTAAGATTTAACATTTATAAGTTCAAATATTTAAGATTCTTAGTATGAAATTCATTATATATTTTTTAAGTTTATAGGTTCATATATACTTTTTGTTAAAATTTTAGTGGATCTTTACACATAAATATGTCTTCTTCGGTTGTACACATCAACATCAGTTATACACATGAATGGAGATTTAACGGCTTATTAACGTTAATGTTTATAATAAAAGAAGTTAATATATTTTAAGTGATTAATTCATCTACGTAACGAGTACTTGAGAACACACAAAAACTTTTACAAGAATTTGAGTGGAAACTCTGATACTTTATCATGTGTTTAGATGCTCAATCAGAAGAAATCATAATTCGAGTATACTATAAATTAAATAAGATTTACCTGACAAATTTAAATAGTTAATATCTCAGATGGTCACTCAACTTTGAGTTGTTCACTTAGAAAGTCACTTACTTTTATTTTATAACTCAAAAGTCATTCAACTATTGGTGTTTCACTTAGAAAGTCATCCAACTATTGATATTTCAATTAGAAAGTCACCCAATCAATTTAAATAATTTTTCATTAAATTTTATTTTAAACTATTTTTTAAAGAAATAATAAAATGTCTATTTTAATTATCTTATTGATCCACTCCAATTATTTAATATAGTTTTTCTGATAAAACGTAAAACAATTAACCCAAAAAAAAAACATTTTAGTAAT